GGAGGTGGTTCCAACCATATCCTCAGAAGGTGGTTAGACACCTTCTCAGGAGGTGGTTGGAGCTCTGGGGAGTATTCTATAGCTATTTCGGAATGGCCCTTTACAGACCCACTCGGCTTCCGGCAAAGTGTTTTGGACCGGATACAAATCGGAGCGTGTTCCGGCATGGGGAGGCCCTTTACTTTCGCCCCAAGACCATCCCCAATTTATGAGTTGTGCCCAGTACTTTTGGACATGCCAACATGGTTTTTAGTGCACACTTCTGAAGGCATTCTGGATGACGTGGACATACAGAGATGTTAGACCAACCGATCATGTAGGCAACATACTCAACATCAACATGATTGTACTGTAACAACATGATGTTAGACCATCTCGATGGACTCCATGGTCTTCTTTGGGGAAGAGACCACCGCGACCTCCGTTTCGTTTCATGCCTTCGCCTGTAAGGTGACCTTCACCAGTGGCAACTGGGTGAACTTTCCATTCCAAAGCGGCAACGATATCAACGTTCCTTTCAACAACGGCAACGATGTGAACGTCCCCTTCAACAATGGCAACTCAGTACCCTTCAACAATGGCAACACAGTAGATGTGCCAGTTGGCAGCGGCAATTATGTACCTTTCAACAATGGCAACACAGTAGATGTGCCAGTCAACAGTGGCAATTATATACCCAACAAGAATGGCAACAATGCATATGTGCCGGTCAACAGCGGCAACTATGTGCCATCCAAGAATGGCAACAATGCGTATGTGCCGGTCAACAGCGGCAACTATGTGCCATCCAAGAATGGCAACAATGCATATGTGCCGGTCAACAGCGGCAACTATGTACCCGTCAACAATGGCAACAGCGTTAACGACAACAGTCGAGACAGCGTGGAGGTGAAGAGAAAGCAAGAGAGCAGCGTTGAAGGCAATGACAATGTGGTTGACCAGAAGTCTGGTGACCTGGTTTGGCATGATGAGGTGACTTTTTGTATTATCCACATGGTCTTTTAATCCACAGGCCTATGGACCATACAAGCACTTGTGTTAAGTCGTTTGGTCTTGTAGAAAGTCGTTTGGATGTTGCGTTTCCATTGGGGTTAGATGCAAGATGGCAATACAACTGGAAGAGCATTAGTATGTTCCACTTCCATCTGGTTTTATATGTTCCATATGGACCTCTTTGTTTCCAGGTTCCATCAGCAAATCCATTCAGGTGCTGTGAATGCCTCCACCGGGTCTCTCACAGCCGCTTGGGCAAACCGGGTGAACCACCGGCCCTAAGGACGGTGGACGTCCGGTCCGAAACGAGGTCTGCGTACCGTCCAAGTGCAAGTGCTTCAAAGACTTTGGGTCTAAGGTGGTTTCTACGTTCGCTTCTTTGTTAGTATACTATAGTAAGGCACTTGTTAGCTAGTAGCGGGTAGCGATGCACTTGTTTTCTACGTTCGGGTCTAGGTGGGTGTACAGTCACTAGTGAATCGCATGGAAGTGAATGGCACGTCTTCCCGAAAGGAAGACGGCAAGCCCGAAACCAGGGAGTTGGTCCACGTGATGTGTGATGTGTGCGTCAGAGTGTATACGATGTTCTCCAAATCCACGAATGCCACGTTTCTCAAGAGCGTGTGTGTGCGTGTGCGTGCCGAGACTGGGTTGCATAGAGCATGTTTCTTCCGAATGAGCTTTGCAACATGGAATCCTTACCATGTCCAACCCCAAAACGCCCCACACGTCCGCCCTAACAGTGTGGTGCCACTTTCAGGCCCTGCTTGAGTGCAGGGGTACGGTGGGAGTGTGTATGCCTTCATCCACGCCCAGGCATCCTCCTCGACCAACTTGGAGAAGTCTGTGGAGGGTCCTCCCAGGCGAGACGTTTGGACGGTTCGCTTCACCACACGAGACAAACCCGCTCGGTTGGGGGGTGATTGGGATGAGGAGAACACTGGAAAAGAAACAAATAGAAAAAGGATGTTGCAATCGTTTATTTTCTAGGGAAATACTTACCTGCCCTTGATCCCTTCCACAGGAGAAAACAAATATATAACATAAAAAGAACACGCCCCCCCGAAAGAATTGACACTAAATGACTCTTGGTTGTTTTGAAATGAATTAGGGGGTCTCAGGACAATTTCAGTATTTCGTTGTTCAACCTGTATCCAAACTTGAAAGCAACATATCCTGATGAAGGATACGAGGGTTTTGCTTAATGCCCGTTTTAAACCTTTCACTTAAAAATCTTGATTAGATCTTCTTCGCTTGCAGAGTGTCCATTGATGGCTATAAGACTGCTAGAACGGTGATGTCGCTGTGCCATGCGGTTTGGCGCGGAACTGCTTGGATCGGACCTGCGTTGGATTGCCGGACAGCCGGACGGCCCGACACCAGCCTGCACACCATCCGGAGCCACCCGGCCGGTCGTGGGTCGAGTTTAGGGAGGTTCCTTTCCTCAAGCAGGAGTCTGGACAGAACGCCCCACAATGGCTTCCCTGTCTGCACATCCCACCTTCCGGACCTGGCCCAAGCCTGAGCCTCTTGGAGAGAGCGACCCGCGCTCGCGCGCCGGTCCCGGTCGGTGCCGCGCGTCCTCGAGGTCGCTGCGGACCAGCAGCTCCCAAGGCCGCGCGGGGCCGAGAAGGGCGGTGGAAGCGTGGTTGGGCGGTGGAAGCGTGGGAGGGTCGAACATGGTCGAACTGTTGATGGTGTGAACTTGGGCGTGTTGGAGGGTGATTTTTTGGATCTTTTGGGGGGGTATATAGCTGGTGTGCCCGGGGTGCCCTGGACATTTTTACACGTGTCTTTGGAAGGCAGTTTTGGGACTTTGCACCAAACTCCGAAATAGTGCGTGTGCGTCTATATATATATATATGTGTGTGTCGGAATCAAACACGATTGGAAAGTCCCTGGTGTTGATGTTTCGGTGGCAATTTGCCAGACACATGTGGTGTTGCGTCGAAGCAGTTCACCGCGATCACGGTGTGGACGCCCTGAGGGGCTGTGCAGAGATTTGAGCAACTGCCAAAACCTCCGTTGAAGGCGGCAACACTATAAAGTGAAGACTAAGTAAGTAAAATGAGGGAAACCTTATAGGCACGATGATGCACGATGTAAGGTTCACAAAACTATTTAAACCTTCGCAAGAGAGCGCACTACAAGACTACAAGAGTGGGTGGCACGTCGCTCCTTTCAGCTTCACGCTTGAACACCTTTCTCTCGGACTGGCTACGACCAGGATTGCCGGCGGGTGCTGAAGCAGGAGCGCAGCCAACTGCGCCTGTCGGCGCTGCAGAAGGCAAGTTGTCAGTGGCTGCTGTATAGCTTGACGACATTCGACGACATAGTAGCTACAGCTCACTTAACCGCATCATTTGGCAGCTGGCTACATATAGAAGATGCTATGTGCTTGATGTCTCTGTTACTTTGGTATTTGACGATGTCTTCGCTGTGACCTCACCTGGTTCATTCACTCGTGGAACACCAGGATCGATGCCGGGCGCTGCAGTTTCACCTGCAGATGTTCCAGAAGGTATCGCCGTTTAACAGTGTTCAAGTTGTTCAAGCGTCGTTCCGGTGGCATTTTTGTTTCCGTTCGACAGCCTCAAACTTACAATCGGTCAATCCTTAAAGAATTGACCCTTCCCCTGGAAGGGCGTTTCATGCACCACCACGTAGTTGGGGCATTGGCACCAGAATTGATACATGAGTTGCGCCTAGTCGCCTTTGGAGTGTGTCGAGGTGTGGAGTGGCACAAGAATTGTCGCATTTTGTTGCATGCTGAGTCTGTAAAAACATGCCCAGGACTTGGAACAACATTTGTGCAATCTATGCATGATGGCAATTCTTTAGCTTTGACCCCACATGGCCGATTCATGTGTCAAACTCCAGCAGAGTGGCCGTGGCCGTGGCCAGGATTGATGCCCTGGGGCCCTGAAGCGGCTGGAGAGCAACCATTTGTGCCTGCAGATGTTCCAGAAGGCGTGCAAACACCCAGTCAAACGGTCAACGTGAGCTACATACCCTGCATAATACAACATGCGCATTTACCATTTGCCAGATGTTCTCAGGTATTCTATAGTTTTCTTGCTATTTGCTCATAAGTTGCACTCCACGAGGACCCTTTGGGGAAATGTTGAGCAAATGATCAAAAGACTACCCCTGAAGCTTTGCTCTTTGGTGGGGTGGGAAGGTCAGAGTGAGGTCAGAGTCAATCATGGGGAGATCCTGAAGACTCGACTCATGTAGAGGGGTCCAACTGCCAAAGGCATGAACCAGCAATGAACTACTCGAGAAAATTGTGTTTTGATTTGAACTGGAAAAGTATTGTGAATTGTCAATAGGACCATGGGATGCGGGATTGGTGAAATCACTGTAGAGGACTTCAACACGGGGAAGAAAGGCGCTTAGTATTGCACGGCGGTTAGTCTTGAAGGAATCAGGTGGACCAAACTAATCTAATCAATGGGAGGTCCTTAATCATGGCTTGACAATGGTGGTGGTGACAGATTTGAGGTATGTGGTTGCCAGCACTGAACGACATGTGGATGATGACGTTTTGAGCTGTGACATTGAGTGGCTTATTGATTGGTGTCAAAATTGAAGTTCTTCTCCATCGGAGTGGCCACCAGGAGTGATGCCATGGAGAGCCGAATCAGCTGGAGTGCAACCAGCCGCACCTGCAGACGTTCCAGAAGGCACGCAACTTGCCATTCAACATCTTACCTGTGGCAGCCTGTTTATTTCTTTTTTTAGTGGACGTGGTCCCTTTTGGGCATTGCATGCACTTATGCCATGGGGACATTAGCTTCCCAATATACACTATATGACTGTATATATGTCATGTAGTACTCCCCAGCCCTTGAACAGTATATGTTTATTGTATTTTATTGTACTTTGGTTCAGTTGAATCTTTTTACACATGAGTTGCAATTGACTAGGAGCCTTTGGAGTGTGTCGAGGTGTGGAGTGGCACAAGAATTGCGGCTTTTGTTGCATGCTGAGTCTGTAAAAACATTCCCAGGACTTGGAACAACATCTGTGCAATCTATGCATGATGACAATTCTTTAGCTTTGACCCCACATGGCCGATTCATGTGTCAAACTCCAGCAGAGTGGGAGGATTGATGCCCTGGGGCCCTGAAGCGGCTGGAGAGCAACCAGTTGCGCCTGCAGATGCTCCAGAAGGCATACAACTTGTGCAAACACCCAGTCAAACCGTCAACATGAGCTACATACCCTGCATACATCTGCATACAACATATACATTTACGATTTGCCAGATGTTCTCAAGTATTTTTTAGTTTTTTTGCTATTTGCTGATAAGTTGCACTCCACGAGGGCCCGTTGGGGAAATGTTGAGCAAATGATCAAAAGTCTCCCCCTGAAGCTTTGCTCTTTGGGGGGGTGGGAAGGTCAGAGTGAGATCAGAGTCAATCATGGGGAGATCCTGAAGACTCGACTCATGTAGAGGGGTCCAACTGCCAAAGGCATGAACCAGCAATGAACTACTCGAGAAAATTGTGTTTTGATTTGAACTGGAAAAGTATTGTGAATTGTCAATAGGACCATGGGATGCGGGATTGGTGAAATCACTGTAAAGGACTTCAACACGGGGAAGAAAGGCGCTTAGTATTGCACGGTGGTTAGTCTTGAAGGAATCAGGTGGACCAAACTAATCTAATCAATAGGGGGTCCTTAATTATGGCCTGACAATGGTGGTGGTGACAGATTTGAGGTATGTGGTTGCCAGCACTGAACGACATGTGGATGATGACGTTTTGAGCTGTGACATTGAGTGGCTTATTGATTGGTGTCAAAATTGAAGTTCTTCTCCATCGGAGTGGCCACCAGGAGTGATGCCATGGAGAGCCGAATCAGCTGGAGTGCAACCAGCCGCACCTGCAGACGTTCCAGAAGGCACGCAACTTGCCATTCAACATCTTACCTGTGGCAGCCTGTCTATTCTTTTTTCCGTGGACGTGGTCCCTTTTGGGCATTGCATGCACTTATGCCATGGGGACATTAGCTTCCCAATATACACTATATGACTGTATATATGTCATGTAGTACTCCCCAGCCCTTGAACAGTATATGTTTATTGTATTTTATTGTACTTTGGTTCAGTTGAATCTTTTTACACATGAGTTGCGACTAGGAGCCTTTGGAGTGTGTCGAGGTGTGGAGTGGCACAAGAATTGCGGCTTTTGTTGCATGCTGAGTCTGTAAAAACATTCCCAGGACTTGGAACAACATTTGTGCAATCTATGCATGATGACAATTCTTTAGCTTTGACCCCACATGGCCGATTCATGTGTCAAACTCCAGCAGAGTGGCCGTGGCCGTGGCCAGGATTGATGCCCTGGACCCCTGAAGCAGCTGGAGAGCAACCAGTTGCGCCTGCAGATGTTCCAGAAGGCATACAACTTGCCGTGCAAACAATGGTCAACCAAAAACACATAGTGTACTGCACATACTTCGGTCTGATCCGTAGTTTTTTCATTGTAATGGAATCCTGTTGGAATTGATTTCTCCCACTTTGGGCGGCGTGTTGTACACACTTAATGTATGTAGTGGGGGGCATTGGTTTCCTTACACCAAAGTCATTGAACGGACACAACTCCACACACCACTCCCCCCCCAAACAGACAACATATAAACAAATATATACAATCCGGTGGGTACTGAATGGAATCTTTGCTATTAGTGGATGGATCATTTTTGTTCAATACGAGCTCCCGACCAGGATTGATGCCATGGGGTCCTGAAGCTGCAGTGGCTGGGACTGCGCCGGGAGCAGACGCAGGCGTGCAACTGTCCGATGGTTTGCCATTGGCCAAGGTATTTTTCGATAGATGGGCAGCCTCAAACAGTGAGAGGCAGCAAACCAATTCTTGCACTGGGCAGTGGGGTCCCTCGGCTCCCCCACAAGCAGTGTATTGGTGTACCAGCTCGTCAGCTCGTACAAGTATCTTGTACCTTTATGCTATGGCTATATATATATATTAATTGCAGTTGACCAAGAGGTTTTGGGGGTGAGTGGTGTGTGTGCGTGTGGATATTTTAGATCATTTTAGCATATATCTTTCATTTTGTAAAACATCCCAAGTGGATAGAATTTACAACATTTGTGACCTGGGCATGATGGCGATTTGGGCTGTGACCTCACTCAAACACGTTGATTCTTTTGTGCCGCGGAGTGGCCGCGATCAGGTGCCGAAGCGGCTGGAGTGCAACCAGCTGCGCCTGCACACATTCCAGAAGGCATACAACTTGACGTTCCAAAAGATTGTGGTCAACGAATGCTGTAGGTGAGTTAAACAGAGTGAAAAAAGCAGCTAGCCGCCTTTATATCCTTTCAAAGGTTGCTAGGAATTGATTGGTGCCTTAAGTGGATGCATTTCATGCACTTCTGTAGTGGCAGTCTTCGGACCTTTTGTTGCATGATCCAGCCGCCAGCCCTTGCAAGTGGCCCTTGGCCTTTGATTCTTTTTAGTCAAGAATACTGCTTGCATGAGTTGCAGTTAAGTATTCGTAGGAGCTTATATAAGTAGGCTTGAGTGGTTGTATGGAACAATTGATGCCATTGGGATGTCATTTTGGTACTTCCCAGGCGGTCCAGCACTGAACATGTCATGTGGATATTCTCTCCTTTGTCGATGACGACTTGACCTGTGACCCTGTGACCTTAGAGTAGAAAGCCTTGAAGTTCTCCACCTGAGCCACCAGGATTGATGCCATTGGGTGACAAAGCAGCTGGAGTGCAACCAGCTGCACCTGCAGACATTCCAGAAGGCAGACACCCTGCATACGGTGTGCAAAGTATTTACTGTACAGTATATTATTGCAGCTGTTCCCAGCCCTTGAATGTAGTTTATATAACATATACACACAAGTTCATTGTTGACTCTAGTAAAGTCCATTTATTACACATGAGTTGCAGTCTTTAGGGTGATTGCTGTGTGGAGTGGTTGCAAGATAATTTTTTGGGGATGTCGCTTTGTTCTGCACAAGCATCCTTGGTGAATACCATGACCCTACAAAGTTTGGGTGATTTGGGGATCATGACAATGTGAGGCTGACTGGAATTCCTGGCTAATTTACAAATCATGGGTATGGGAACTCGAAGGAATAGTAGTATAGTAATTAGATATATGCGACAACTTGTCAGGCCTGATACTCACATGCAGATGTGGCCTGGTCTTCCAGATGTGGTTTTATCCTGGTGTATGTTGGTGACCAAGGATAATTAGAATGATTTGTCAGTGCATTGGATGAACGGATGGACTATGCAGAGAATTGAGCTCATGAAAACGTGTGAAAAGCATTGAAAAGCGTTCTTTTCTCCTGCTGACTGACTGTGACCAGGATGGCCGGCATTGCCGCGTGCGAAACAAGCACCTGGAGCGCAACCTGCGGCTGCAACTGAAGGCCGATACGAGTTGCCATTGACCTCAAGCTCTTGCCGTTGTTAGTATCATGACATTTTCGTGGGGGCTTCATCCACGCTACGTGGGTTGGCTTGGCCCAACTTCCAGTTCTTGCCAGCCCTTCCCAGTACTTAAGTCACTTTACTCATGCACTCTTTTCTCTTTTGTATCATTGAAGCGCAGTTGGCTAGAGTTCGCCGTTTCCGCGCCCCACGGACCTGGCCACGCCAGGTCCCTCCCAGCGCTTCGCCGACGCGCTCCGGAGGGCCCCTCCACCGGCGGCGCCCGTTGACGTCGCGCACGACGTGCACGTGGCCCAAAGCGGCCCAGCGCCACACCGTGGCAGCGAGGCAGGGAAGCACAAGGCGGCCCAGCGTCGACTGCATAAGTAAGCCAAAGAGCTGGTAGTTCGTTGAGCTGGTAGGCCCTAACAAGGGCCCAACAAAGACCGGTTTCACATGGGCTTCGAGGTCGATCAGTACCAGTGTTTTGTGAAGGTATTGCAATGTTCCTGGGGGATTATGAGGGATTGCGAACCTGGCTTTCTTCTGGCCGAGGCAGGGGATGTTGCGAAGTTTGTAGGGGTGACTTGTGTATCGAAAACATGTGTTCTAAGGCTTAGGATTATATATTTAAATATATTTATATACTCAACACCAAGTAAATAGAGACCATAAATTTACATGATCATATATTACAGCCATGTAAATTTCCTCTATGAAATGATGAGGGTTAACCCTGATATGAAACGCTTCATGGCCCCCTTCACTGGACATCCCAGTCTCTATGAAATGACCATCCCAATCCCTCCTGGCTTTGTCACATGACTCTTCCAACTCCCCAAGGCTTTACAAAAAGGTGAAACATTAGCTGACTAATGCAAATCATTTTTTTTCTCAAATAGAATCGAACACACAGTTAAAACATGCATCCTAGGCTCTAACTTTGCACCCGTAGCTCTCCAGGCATCCGCTCATCATCCGCTCCATCCGCTCATGACTCTTCCGACCCTGGCTCTGCGACGAGTTCCCTTGTCCTCAGGCAGTTCAGCTAAATGAGGAGCACAAAGGATTAAATACATTGAAACAACAAGTTAAGCCAGTTAAGACATGGAGTGCCAAAGGTAAGCCTTTGCTGAAAAATCCTTACTTCCTTAGTGCTGCACCCCTAATTCCACAGGCCTTTCTTGACCCAAGTGAGCCGTGTTTTTTTAAAAGGTAAAGTGCTTATACACTGCTGGGCTGCCTACGCTGGAGGTTTCGCATGGTCAGAATTTGTGGGAAGGGTGGCTTCGCGAGGCTTCGTGCAACACCAGAGGCTTTGCGAAATGCTTTCGCGGTTCCGACACGCCAGATTCAACCTTTCATAGACTCTAAGTTTGCCTTCGCGAGTTGGCTTGGCCTGTGTGAAATCCAACAGCCTACGCCAAAGGCTTCGCGAGCCTTCGCTACACACAATGTATCACACAAATGCCTTCGCAAACACTTGTGGAGTTACAGTCTAATCTAAATTGTATCATGCAATAAAAAAACGCTACTCAAGTGGATTTATACAGTTTTACTTCACTTCTCAGGGTCACCAAAATCATTCAATAAGAGCCTTGTGAAGCTTTTTCAGGATTCCCAGGTTCTATAAAGTGACAATTCCAGCCTCTTGAACATGTATAACAAGCATGCTACATCATGCTACTATTATATACTATTATATATATACACTATTTGTTTCTTTTAGCTTCAACATGCGTCAACCTTTTTCAAGATTCTTGCCAGGGTTGTCTCAGCTGCTCCTCATCATATATAACGATAGTGATGCATTGTACAAATCGTACATGCTGCCAATTCAATATGTTTTTTTCAGGTTGTTCGTTGTTTTCTTGCCATGTTGATCCTTGCAGTGTCTTTAGCCAGACTTGGCATATGGTGTGACTGCGCAAGAAAGGGATGCTTGATGATGCTTATTGTCTCAATGATTTGCAGATACGTTTGGATGACATGAAAGTCCTGATCATGGTCATGGTCATTGTTCATATGTTTCTACATCAAGATATGCATCTATCATAACATAGGTTGGACCTGTCAGTTCATAGAAACCTGAAATCTTGACCTGCTTCCATGTTTAAAAGGCCGTGAGGGGTTTGCAGAATGATTTTATAAAGGACCCACCCGTTGTTCACACGGCCATCCTATATTCAATTGAATGCAACTTGAACCAATAAATTAATTTACATGTGAATCCCTAGGCTTCCAACAACCATTATTTTAATAGGCTTTACCGAATCAACTAAGGATTTTTCATTTCAAAAACAAGGTCAACCATTTTTATAATGGTCTTGGAAGTCTAGGGAATCCAAAGCACAGATTCCAGGATGCCAGACATATGGGCAGGCTGCCCATGCCAGTGGTTACAAACACGACTGCACAATTCTTTTACACGAGCCTTGCGGTGTCTCGACATGTCGCGGCAGATAGATATAGTCTAGTACCAAGATGTCACATGCAAGCTAAGTCAACGTTCCGGGCCAGCGCCGGTGGCAAGCGGCGCTTTTTTGACAGTGACACACCGCAACGGCCAGAAGCGTGTTCTGGCTCTTGGATCACCTGGTCGGCTTGCAGACCAGCAAAAGCACCATAGACCGCGGGGGGCCGGGCACGGCCGGCCGGTGAGGTCGTTTCGTCGGTTCCACCTGGGGGCACGGCCCTCAACTACGAGGGGATGATTGAGTCTCGACGTGAACCTTTGACCTTTGCTGGCTAGTGGTCAGGAGGGAGCGACGGAGGGCCGCCCGGGGCATCCAGACCCATTGGGGTGGTTTGGGGGGTCAATATATATATGCATGTATGGAGTCTTTGGGATATAATAGGACCATTAATATTTCATATTCCCAAATATTCCTAAGTATGTCCCTTCAAACAGGGAAAACCAGTCTAGCCAGTATAGCAGGTGGAGCCACGTTACACAAACATACAAACAAGATCTAACAAGCTCATCGCAGGAGAGGTGCCTTCCCAAAGGTTTCGGCGCCTGGGTGGCATGATCGGGCAGATGTTGATGGTGATACTGGGCGCAACCTTTGGCAAAACATGGGAACTTCCTCTTCAAGATTTCAAAGGAAATATCTTAACTGAATAACTACGTACTTTTTGTATCTGTTCGAACTTGCACAACCTTGTGGTACACGGTTTTTGGTGGTTTTAGGTTTTCTTGGATGTCTTCAATCAACAGTGGCACGTGCCCCTCTCTCACCCAGTATCGTAGCCAAGCCTGAACTTCTCGATGAACTCCTTCCTGCCAGTGGTCGGTGGCCATGAGGACACCATTCCAAACCTAAGAGAACCAATGGGCCTGTTCATCAAGAGCTTCTTTCTCACGAGCCTTTTCTGTATGTTCTTTTTTATCACATATCAATCCACGACATGCAAGTCCAAAACGCATTGCGGCATTTTTGGCGAGCAAGTGTGTGGACATCAACACAAACCAACACCAACCTTGCCCTTACAGTAAATCAATTCTTGGTGCCTGAACAGCAAGAAACTGCTTGCCTCCTTCACTGATTGTTCGTGACTGTCCTTTGTTACTGAGTCCGAGGAAAACCCAAGCTCTAGATTGTTACCCAGACACTCAATGTATGGAACCTGCTTTGGGCTTCGAAACAATCCCAATGCAGGTAAATAAAGTCGAATTGCTTAAGTAATGCCAAGCCGCAGTCTTCCTAGACATGAACAAGAAAGACTTGCCTACCAAAGATCCTTAGGGGCGCCCAACACAGGGAGCACTTCAAGCATGAACCTCTAGTACATGGGTGTTGTTTTGTGGGATGTTAGGCAGCAAAAACGAGCTCTGATAGAAGGAGGAAATTCACAGATGTTCAAGGAGTTAGACAATATTGATCCAGCTTGTTGCCATGTACTAATTGCACACCGACACCTGCTTGGTATTCAGAAACTTGGCTTTCCCCAGGGTCATGTGAAAACCTATCCAGTCCACATTAGCACCCAACCACAAAATTCTGAGAGGTCTTCGAGCAGTCAGACTTGGCAGTGCCTCGAATTAAAATCAATCCCAGAGGCCCAGAGGCCAGGGACCGGAAGGTTTTCGTCTTAACTTATTACAGTCAACTTGATTTTTTCCTGAGCTATAGCTATAGCGTGTGTCCCTGAAAGGGGTTACTGTATCACCATCTTTGGGAGGCATGCCTCCAACTATCATGAACTGGGCCCCAACAAGGGATGATCTACCGGACACGTGCGCCGCCCGTTCTGCATGGATCTGCATGGAACCCGACGAAGTTCTCGCCATCTCGAGAACCCCAGGTGGTGGCCATCGACGAGAAGGCGGTGCCGCCAGAAACTCCCGCTTTCTCCGGAGAACGCGCGTCGTGCCCCGCTTTCTCGCGATTTCGATTCACATGGACTATCAGAAAATGGACTATCAAGCACAGGGTGACTTTTCCTCTACGACCCCAGCAATTCTGAGGGTCCCCAGTGGTTCTCAGGGTCCGCGGTTCTCCAGGTCCACTTGTTCCATGCCACACACATGCCCAGCTGGCCAGGCCAACTCCAAATCGGGCGGGGGGGCCCTGGTGGAGTCCTCCGGCGACTCTCGAAGCTGGTCCACAGCACGAGACAGGAGCACCAGGTGTGTTTTCCCCAGAGGTGCTTTGACTCGAGCACCACGAGTTGCACCAGGAGTTCAAGCAAATTGCAGAGAACCGGTGTTGCAAAAGAGCTTCAATTGGTCAGATCTCAACTGACATGGCGCGCTCCTCTGACCTTGATTCTTTGAGAAGTTGAACTTGTGGAGAATTCTCGTCGAGTTGTGCTGCGATTATCTCAGCTTCGCAGGCAGCTCAACAATTCAACAATCTGCCTCTACCAACTGGCTTTTCTGTGCTTGACGTGTGCTGAGCACTAAGAATAGCTTCTTGAGTTTATTGCTCTTAGTCATTGAATTGCCTGGCTGGCTATTCTCTTGACCTTGCGGTGTTTTGTGAGCGAGCCAAAAGAAACCCTGGACAAGAGAAACCGTACGCCAAGCCCAAAGAAACCTTACAGTAACAAAATGAAACCGTATAGATCAATGTGAAACAGATGGAGAAAGCTAAGTGCTCGCACAAGACCCATCTAACCGGACTGAAGTGAATGTCCCGTTGGCCACAGGTGTTTGAAGATCAGTGTGTGCTACAATTGTTTAAGACTTGCAGATTAAGATGTTTAATCACTGTTTGCTAAAAGTGAGTGACCTGCGGGTGGCCCAATTCAATCCCAAACTCCTCTTCTAAAATGGCTTTGTTCATGTTTGTTCTTTGTTCGGCGGCTGCACCGACCCTGCATCACCACCACTCTGACACATCCTTGTCACAAGTAAACGAGTGAGGATGAGGAACCTGAACTCTTTGTACCTGAAGCAACCGCAACATACGCCAGCACCATGTTACAGGGGATTCAGAGGTTCCATGGCGCAAACCCCAAGATGTCCTA